ATATATATATATGAATTTGAACGGATGGTGTTTTTGGCCTCTGGGGACCTCAAAACGAAAAACTAAATCGGTCCCGGGTCCAGGTCTTACCATGAGACCTACGGTAATAGCTTATTCCCTATATGGGAAATTCGCTAAAAACAACTTGTTTTCCATATGCGATGGGGGCGTCTACTACATGGTGAACACAGTGTACTCATTACTAGATAAGAATATGTGATCAGAATCACGCGTGTCTCAAAGTCACGTTACTCTAGTCACGTGATCAAGTCGTTAACTTCCTACGTGACTACTGAGCAGATTGTGAATATCCTCCCAGAGAAACCGCGACACTAAACATCTGCTTGCATTTTACCGTTTCCGCTCAAGTACTTGGTGTTTCAGCATCGCTTGGAATGAGTCCTCTTAAGACGCTTGTGTATGTTTGGAGATGGTTTGGAGCATTTATAGGTTGAGAAAATTATAAACTTCTCTCTTTAAAAAAATTAATATGATTTTTATATACTTAAGTATTGGTTATTGGTTATTATCAACAATTATCTTCTAGATACCTTGGATGTGGCATTTCACACTTTAATTTAGTAGGTTGACTTCCCTACATGTCTTGGACCATTAAAGCAATGTGCAATTTCTCTAGCTTTTCTTACCGTATGGTTTTCACGAATAAGGTAAGGTAAAAGCTTGGTAAGGATCATATCTTAGTGAATTTATAGTTTTTGTAACATATGAAATTTAGTACCGCTAAAATCTTCCAAAGCACAATAATAAAGAGCTGATCATCACCATACCTGTTGATAAGAAAAACACTGATTCTTTTTAAAACATGTATATTTTTAAATAAAAACAAATCTGAAAATCGAGTTTTCTTCCAGTAAAGGATGTTGAGCTAGCTCACTTTTCCATTTTACAGTTTTACAGTATTATTATGTGTTTTAATATAACCAATAAGCTTATCGGAGTTTTCTTACTCTTTTATTTTCGTGATAAAAAAAAATATTTTGTATATCCATTTATAACTTGTCTATTACCGGACTGAAATTACTTGTTACTCATTACAACCTCATTAATAAGTAATTTATATGTTATTAAATTAACATGATATTTTTACACTTACATGCATTTAAAATATTTAAATATTTTAGTGTACAAAATAATCCATTAATTGTCCATTGTTGGAAATGTCTATGTTAGCATTCCTGTTTGAAACCTATTTAGAATATTTGTCCGTTTGTCATCATACAGGGGTATATTGATTTGTTCAGCAATATGCATATAAATATTCCAACCTGCGATGCGTAAAATAGATTTCCACAACTCACCCCCAGCGGGGCATCAACAGATGTGTATATAAATATGCGATAGATACAAATGTAACTGCTAGATATCTCGGACAGGAAGGCAATGCATTTTTCACTCTGACATCCCTCGATATTTAAAACACACCCTTTGTTTAAACTCGCTCAAAGTTTTATGAATTCAATTCCATTTTATTTTCAGATCTGTTTTACATTGAATCTATTTTACTTGACAATTTCACAACAACTTATAATAATATCAGAATGGAAAGGCTTAGGGTAAATTTATTTGAACATATTTAATTGAATTTGAACAACTAATTGCAGATACTGTATACAGCATTTTCAATTATCCATATGTTTTAATGCATAATAAAAACGTGTCTGTTGTGATTTTATTTACTGTGAACATAAAATGTAATATACTGTAATAAATATAAAAATTCCAAAAGATTTCACCCACTCTATTAACTGATTAGACTTGACCTAAGAAGGTTTTTTTTGTTATTTTGCAATTATTGTATATATATATAATGCCCCCGCCACAGCAAACCTGCAGACTAAGCGAATTTCCATTTACCTGACTGGATTTCTACTAAAATATTCTCTGAAAATTGTCAGATTTATTTCCTATTTAAATAACATTAATTTTAATGAGTACCTAGGTTTGCTGCTACAGGGAAGGTATTGAGGGGTGTTTTAATGGAAATTTTGATAGCTTAGTATGAAATAAAATTGCCAAATGTGATTAAAATATATCCCTAAACAAGCAAACTAAAGCAGTTTATTTATTCTCCATTAGAATAACATTTGAATTTTAAATTTAAAGTTGTTTATATTACCACCGTAACCGTTAGGCATACAACTATGATGCAATATGCAAAATTATTTCTTTCGGTCGAATAAACGTAGGTTTACACGTTTGTACCAATTTCATCAAAATTGGGTCATTTTTGCTCGAGTTATCGCGCTAACGGACACACTCGTACATATATGTATGTGAATTTGAACGGAGGGTGTTTTTGGTCTAGGGGGACCTCAAAACGAAAAAGTAAATCGGTCCCAGGTCTAGGTCTTACCATGAGACCTACGGTATTAGCGTATTCCCGATATGGGAAATTCGCTAAAAACAAATTAAATTGATACTGTTGTTTAATCCAACCCTACTTTAGTTTACGTAATAAATATCTATAGTGAAAAATTTAATATACTTTATGACAATTAAACAAAAGTACAATTAGACAAAAAAAATTGAAATTGAATGTGACTACTGTAAGTATAATTAGTTATAAAGTTAAACCTAATTTGCTATTCCATTGTTTTATACGTATAAGCAAAGGTTCTATAGTATATTTGGTCATACCGTAAAATCTATATCAAAACCTTTAGGTTTTCCAGAAATTAATTAGAAATGTTCTAGATTCTGCTGCAAACCACGGGTAAAACTACTAGTTCTTGATTATTGTTTGATCAAAAAATTTTGGTCACAGCACCAAGGATTTGGATGTTTCACAACTAATTGAGTTCATTTACTCACTATGTTCATAGTTTATTTCGTCCATAATGCTTGTAATGCAACAGATCAAACGAAAGAGCTCATAATGTACATCGTCAAGGTGACTTTTATTGCTAATATTTCTCAAAACGAGACCATAACATTTTATGACGAAGCCTGAAGCAACCATCTTCCACATTACAGAATTGCCCAGACGAGCTTCTCGCTCAAAACTTTGCAACTTTTATTTCACATTGTTGTAAGGGTGGGTATTTGTTGTAAGTATAATGATAAAACCCTGTATATAGCATTTCTTATATATTATTCGACATATTAAATATGTAGTCAAATCGAAACAAATTTTAGCTACGACCGTTTTAAACTAGCAGTTTCAGTTCTTGGAATTAAAAAGATTCACTTAACAGCATTGTTTACTTACTGAACAGCATTTTTTTTTACTTAAACAGGAGTAACGGACCAATGAGGTTAAAGGATTTGGAGAAAAGAAGTATAATTGTAATGTTTCAAACTTCAACTAATCAGCTGTTTGCCAATTTAATTGTTAATAATCAGTGCAAATAGTGGTTGGTACAATGTATAGTTCCCTCACTGTTAGTGGTAATAAGAGGTTATAAACGAAAACATAACCTCTTTTAGAAGTTTTTATTAGTGATTTTTAGTAAGTAATCAACGATCGTAAAGTAGTGTACGCAACTCGCGTAAATAGCCTTAACGACACTCCTAGAAGCTTTTAAGGCACTCGCCAAGGCTCGTATCTTAAATTTCTACTCGTGTTGTTAACACTATCTTTACGCGATCGTTGCGTAAGCTACTATAATATTCAGTTGTACATTAATAAAAAGCCATTAACCATTGATGGTAACTATTTTTTATTTGAGAATAAACAAATATTCTGATTTATTTTGCATGGTTTGCTACAAGATAAACAAATCTTTAAAAGCTTTGGGACAGAAGAAACATTTAGTTTTAGAACAACTACTTTTACTTAAATAGTATTAAAATATTACAGTCCACATGGGCAACAAATTGCCGTACAGTTGCAATGCTACCGTTTCAAATCGAAGAGTATAATGTCAATGCATCTTGACATTTTTGAACAGCAAAAACCTGTATTATTACTCTTTTACAGGAAAATGTAATGTTTCCAATGCCTGTAAAAGGCCGAGTAGAATTATTATTGGATCCTTTTTAAATTACCTTGAAACAACAATTAGTGACTTAGACAGTTGAAAATGTAAATTTCCTCAAGACTCTCCAACTAGCTTCTAGGGCGGGCATTAATTGCACCAACTGACCTGAGTAAGGTAGTCGGGTATTCTTGAATTGCGCCAACTACTCCAGGGAGCCACCAGATAAGTTCATTAACTGGGCCGCAAGTCGTAGTCCTCTTTGACTGTACAATTGAGTAGGATATGTTAGGTTAGGTTAAGTTAGGTAAGGTTAGGATGGTTTAGGTTAGGTAAGGTTAGGATGGTTTAGGTTAGGTAAGGATAGGTAAGGATGACACGTAAACAAGGTAATTCCTTCTGCCAGCAAATCACCCCTACCTGGCTTGGGCTTTACGTAACTAAGGAACATTTTTTGTGGCCCTTTGAGGGCTTGGCGCAATTAATGCATGACCGCTTCTTAAACTAGCAATGTTATTTTACGAAAACAACTACTTAGACCTGTCATCATAGACATGTTGTACTTATTATAGTTTAACATATTTAATTTTGTAATCAACAATTCTTTTGCTATTCATTACACATAGAATAAGAGTACAGTACAATCTATCTATATATTAATAGGTAAGCATGTTTCTTTAAAACCTTTTTTCTCAGCTCGTATGCATCGTAGGGAAAATCTACGCATACTGTTAGAAAGCTATTTTCCTGTAGGTGTGCAGAACCCCTTTATAAATTAAAATAGGCTCAAAAATAAGCACAAAAAATGAATTTAAAATTTTGAAAAATTTAACATGGATATTATGAGTTGCCATGCTAGTGACGAAATAACAACGAAATATAAACAGAAAATCAAAACAAATTGAAGAAACTCCAAACACATGTTCTATTCAAAGTGTGGAATGAAAATAAAGAAGTCTGTACATTAAATATTTTTGGTCGAGTTTCGACCACTGGACGACCTCTAGTGTAACATAAATAGATACACTACATATTGTACTTATATTTTGGGGTAACTGATATCTCCACACACTTTATGTTGTAAAATGTGTAATTTTTTTCTTAATATAATTATTATCCATTCCGTACTTTATTAACATGTTTTGGGCCTTTTTCATCGCTGCTGAAGGAGGTCGATCTGAAAAAAATATTATAAACATAAATATAATTTTGTAATTAATTCTTAAGCAAGTTTATAGTTTAATACGGTTTAATAGATAATGTTTTTCGTCAATGTTCGAGTTTATATGTTTAAAATTGAAATCTTAAATACTATAAAATCTTACTGGTTGTTGACATTGATTCTTTGAACTAATTAATCGTTAATGGAATTTGCAATAAACTTGCCGAGCTTGAATATTATTAATATTGATTTTCCATAGTAATCCTATTTCATTTTAGACTATTAGACGCCATAACGTGTGGTTTTTACTCTTTGCCACATATTCTAACAGCAGAGGTCAAGCAATCGTTTTCTATTAGTTTGCCATATATTAGGTACCTAATACTGGTTAAATGATAATAAATAAAAAGTAAAAAAAAATACAAAGTGGAGAGAGACAGTATATTAAATTTAAATATTGGTTGTAGGCTCCTACACCCAAATTAGACTGTTTTTAAGGAGAAGGCTGAATCATTGGAGAAGATAACGTGTCAAAATTCTTTGCTGCAATACATTTTCAAAGGGGAAATACACTAAATTCAACATATTGAACCGTTGTTGGATGGTTTACTTGTAGTTTGATGAACCTTAGCAAATTCAACGACTTGGTCACCACCAAAACAAAAATATTCTACTAAACTTAAAATTTCCTTCGTCTGATCTATGAGGAACTAAGCTTTTGAAGTCTACGCAAGACACATTGATAATTGACTACTTACACTGGAATGTTCCCATCATTGCTATGGAGATGCACTGGTTCTGTATAGTCTGGTATCTTTTGGGTAGGTTTACATTGGCTGTCCACCCTCTCCCCTCGTACACGGTTCCGTCCCCACCGATCAGGAAACTTACAAACACAAAAATTAGGTAATTTTATATTTTATAATTTTATAATTTACCCATTGCCATACCACCCAGCTAAAGCTTCGGTCATCTGCGGTTCTAGAGATGCTCGAGTGGCAATGACGTACTCTAAGCTCATAATACACAAATTACTTACCTAAATCATTCCAGCTTACGGAGTTTCTTTCAATATGCAGGGTAACAATCAAGTCTTAGGACGACTTTATAACTTGAAAACGAAAAGAGTTATCACAACCAAATTTTGGCATACTGGTAATAGTAAACTACTTTTTTGTTTACACGGTGATCGGATGTCTTTTTTGACTCGGTTGTCCATTTAAGGTCCGGTTTGTCGCATATTGTTTTAGCGAATTTCCCATATAGGGAATAAGCTATTACCGTAGTACTCATGGTAAGACCTGGACCCGGGACCGATTTTTTTTTTCGTTTTGAGGTCCCTAGAGGCCAAAAACACCATCCGTTCAAATTCATATATATATATATATATATTTGTTTATATATGTGTCCGTTAGCGCGATAACGCGAGCAAAAACGATCCGATTTTGATGAAATTTGGTACAAACGTGTAATCCTACGTTTATTTGAACGAGTTCGCGAACCAGCATGATCGGCCATGGGAACGGGGGTTTATGGGGGGTTTTATGGGGTAAAAATGGGTTTTTCCCACTTTTGACTCAAAAAACATAAAATTTTGCAATTTCTTTCCAAACTATTTTGTAGAGCTTAAAAAAACAAATAATTTAGTATATTGAAGCGTTATAATGCACCTAATGGTTACGGAGAAAATTTCAAAAAATTGTAAATTTAAAATTCCCATGTTATTCTTATGGAGAATAAGTAAACTGTTGTAGTTTGCTTGTTTGTGAACATATTTTGATCAAATTTGGAAAATGTTTTTATTTCTTACTAACTATTAACATTTTACATAACACTTTTACCCTCCCTGTTGCAGCAAACCTAAGTATGTGTTAAACTGATTCTATTTAAATAGGGAATAAATGTGATATTTTTAAGGAGACATTTTAGTGTAAATCCAATCAGGCAAATGGAAATTCGCTTAGTCTGCAGGTTTGCTGCGGCGGGGGTATTTAGTTTAACAAGACCTTTAATTTTATGTACATCTCAACCTAGGCTTACTTTTAAGATTTTCAACCTACTCCCTATGGGCCATCCCCATGGTGTCATCCGATCACAAAAATGTCACCATGTACACAAAAATGTTGCTTACTATGACCAGTAATAATATGCCAAATTTGGTTGTGGTATCTCTTTTCGTTTTAAAGTTATAAAGTCGTCCTAGGACTTAACTGTCACCTAGTATATTCTTAACCCACGTCATTACGAATCATTTATGTCCTAAGCTCCCCCTGAAAGACCAGTCACTTTTACTCTAGGAACCTCACATATCCATTAAGGTTCAATCCAATGTTTCGACTGGAGGGTATAGCGTCTCGATCTGAGCTCAGTCAACTTATCATACAACCTAACAAAATACACCTATGAAATACCACACGTAATCATTTTATGATTTCCTACTCTCATCTTCCCTTATTTCCTCGGCGTTACTTATGATATCGTATTCTCACCTCTCATAACTTAAAACATTTCTCTATGGTTTCCTTCCCTTACTCTTCATAACCATGTACTATTCGTTTATCGTTAGTCACTTCTTTATTAAATGTCATTGAAATTTACTTAACACTTTCTAGTCTCTTGTTATTTTCTACGCTCACCCATTCAAGACATTACTCACTTGGACCCTAGGGATGCGAGCTGTGGACAAGCGAGGGGTCCTGAGTTCAAATCTTGCCAAATCACCAAAGAATTTTATCTAAGTGACAATGCCGCAACATTTGGGGAACAAGCTGGTTTAGTGGTTATAACGCAGGACTTCGGAGCTCGGGTCTTGAGTTCAAACCCCACCAACTACCAATGGATATTCAAATGATAATGCCGTAACCCCTAGGTGTAGCCTGAAGTAACGTGAAAAACAATCCCTGGCTCCTGTCTAGCGTCTTAGAACAAAAAATGCCGCAACCCTTAGGACTAGCCTGAAGTTATGTGAAAAATAATCCTGGGCTCGTGCCTAGCGTCTTAGAACAAAAAAAATCCGCAACCCTCTAGGACTAGCCTCAAGTATTGTATAAAACAATTCCGGGCTAGAACCTAGCATCCTATAATCACTGTGGCACCCAGAATGATATTTTTATAAAGGACATAACAAACTTACTTATACACAATGTCCGGTTTGTCCCCATACTTGGTACTACGGTAGTGAAGGTACTGAAGTTCCGCGAAGCATTGGTCGTGGCTGAAGCAGTGTGACTTCCTAGTGAACGTGGAGTAGACGTAGGACACGGGGGTTGCCAACGGGTCCTTCCATTTCGGCGGTATTTTGCACCACTGACTCCGGGGGATGATGACTAAGTTTTTCAGTTCTGGGCCATCAACCTCCGGGGAGGGTGCAACTGGGTCTACCGCATAGGGGGCATAGCCTGGAGTCTCAATGGCATTTCTGGAAAAAAGTATTGTAACCAAGAGAACTAAACTAACTTGAATAAATTAGAATTGCGTAGGTGAAGTTTCGCAAAATGTTAGGTACGGTAAAACATTTGTTGAAAACTTAAGAGTGAAAAAGTATGTAAAAGTAAGTATTCAGCATACAAAGTAGTTGTAGCAAGTATTAGTAAGAGTGTAAAGCATTAGACAAAAATTTAAGTTAAGTTTGAATACGTCTTACTGTTTCATAAATTAAATGGAAATGTATTGGACGTGGTCGTTTTAAAATCATACTTAATGATTTTTTGTTGCATATAAACGCGTCAAATTGCGTTTGAATTACAAAAAAACCATGATGAGTGTTTCCTAAGTTGAAAAGTCTACCTAAATTAATACATAAGTTTTCATTGCGTTATTGAAGGGATGTATGTTGTAGCTACAGTAGTTTAAGATAGTATAATAGTTTTTAGAGGAATTAATTTAATAATAAAGATTTAAATAAAAGTAAAACTTTTATAAAATTATTAAAAACATACAATAAAACTAAAAATTCGATAAAAATATTAGGGTGATCACTTTTAATTCCAAAGAAGACTAATTAAATCAAATTTTAAATAAGGCTCTATAAAACACAAGTTTAATGTTTTACGACTAATATTTTCAGTACAATTGAGCAAAGTAATTATCATTTTCAATGGCAAAACGTTCCAAAACTAAGAATCACAAAGATAGAAAAAGTAACTTCCTACCGTCGTGGTTCCATTAATGATGAATATATTTTTTCTTGAACAATTAAAACACTTTTTATGAATCGATCATTGCGTTAAGAATATTTTGAATCGGATTAAGTCAACAATCGATACAATCATAGAAGTTAGTTATCAAAGTTATGTAATTATCTACAACGTTATCTCAATAAACTATAAGATTTTGAACTCACTGTTGTGGGCTATATATCATTAGTAGGGTTTTATTTTCCTTTTTGTATTTCTATCCATGTCGTAAGTTTATTCATACACACACATTGAACATTTTCATTCACTGGATAGTATATTACGTTACTAGTCCTGAAAATAAGTGTTTACCGGACGAGTGTGGTCGTTTCCGTGCGAGACAAAGTCAAGTACGGGATTACCATACGAGTCCGGTAAACACGTTTTGGACGAGTTACGTACGATAGTTTACACCATACTACTAGATCTGTACAAATCCTTATATATTACCACCAACTAAAGGACTAAAAATCACTGATCATAACCTCTAAGATAGATTATGTTTTTGTTTATAACCACTCATTGCCACCCAAATACAATATAATCAGCTGATTGGTGTCCGGTAAAACTCATTACAGTACAGTATAACGTAATGAAACCCCATTTGATTAAGCTGGCGGCAAACAGCTGTTTTCTGGACTAAATCCTTGCGTGAGAAGTTCGTCAAAATGGTGTAGTGTGGCTTAAAATATTTTGTTTTAAAATAACTGTATACAAAACAACAACTCTAATGTAAAATATTTCCCTATAAATAGCTCATTGTACTCATTTACAAGTTCGGTGAAAATATTACCCTGAGCTTTGGTTTTCTGTTTACCGTATTGTTTTCTGTTTTCTGTATTGATAATTATATATTATCATTATATAATCAAACGTTCGTGTATTAAAGAAACTATTAGTATGTATGACTGGCTATTGTTACAAAATGCTTTAAAACGTATGCTGCTTTCATGCGAATAGAATTTTCCTCAGCAATAAGTAAATTATTTATACCACGTAGTAGACGAATCCAATCAGTTTCGTAATTTTGTAGGAACCTGAACTAGCTGGGGACTACTTAGCTTAATCCTGACACGAATAATTAAAAATATTGTAATCTGCGCACAGTGTTTTAAGGTAGCAGCACACAACATAATTTTTACGCTAAAGGGTGATGATTCCCAACAGCTGTTGTACTAAACCCGTTTTAGATTGATTAAAACCAACCCATTTGTATCACAAATCAACATTTCAGCAGATATATTGATTTTTGATAAGTGAAATGTTTAATTTGTAAAACAAAACGTTACTAACTTCTACAGCTGTAAATAAGAAGGACGTGTTCAGCAGCTCGGGGAAGGTGGAAATAGCGCAATAAAACAGTACTGGAAATGAGGTCCCTTGTTAACTTGTTGACTGTAACATTCCGCTTTATTACAGTTTCACTGCAAATTTCGTTTTATTTTAAGGTTATGTTCAACCGAGAAAACATCTACCTGTATATACGCTACAAAATGGCTACAACTGTTTATTGTTTTGCCATCAGTATTCGGCATAATATGTTGGACAAATAAATAATATAACTTGAACATAAGTAATTACTAAAACGATCAATAAAATAAGATCGCTATGTCATGAATTCAATGGCATGCTTAAATAGTTTTTGGTCTTACTATTTAATGTCGACCTTTTGTTGGATGGTTGTGAAATTGTGTTTTAATTTTGTACTTCATTCGTATGGTAATGATAGTTGTTAATCCATTTTTTTTGTCCGGATTAAACTAATTCGCCAATATAGATAATGATAAACTTTATATTCACGTTACAACGTGTTTTAATCCCAAATAGGCCTACTTAATGGGTATTCACTTAGTTGTTTTGCAAAGAGCAGTCAGTGTGGTTTTTTTTTTTTTTTTTTTATTTGAAACTCAAAATCATATTTATGTTTTGTATAACAGTTTTTAATGTTTTATGACTGGATGAATACAGACAGTTAATATTTGTCTAAACAGTTATTATCAATGTAACAATATGATAGAACATTCCATTTATTAATTAATGTGCTTTAGTATTGTTATTGTACAAAATACAAATAGTTCAAATTTAAAAATTACAATACCATCTTTAGATCTTATTTCTTTTTTTAGTTGGTATTAGTGTACTACTCAAAAGCAAGCAGTTTTCTTAGTTGTCTTAAAAAATATTAATTAGCTTCTGGAAGTACTTACTCTGTTTATAAAAGCTCCTTTTTAATTGATATTTATTGTAATTAATTTTCCAGGATCTCATCTTATTTATCTTATTTTTGAAAAATAGTTTATGTCTTCAAAAGGAATTTCCCTGAATGGTTGCCACATAAATTGGTCAATGTGCAAATGCGACGAAGGTAATATCCAGCTGGTTATCACCCTTGCTATTGACTAACCGTGATTTTTATTAAAAGGCCGAGCTAACGCTGAAATTACCGGAAATTGAGATCTTTGAATATACAAAGGCAGCACTGTGCCTAATAGCTTTAAATTTGCTTGGGATATCAGAGCTCATTGCTTACGTTAGTGGCCAGTCAAAACCTCAAAATCTATAGCAAAAATTAATAAGCAAATGAGAAACACATGTGAAAGCTATAATACATTAAATTAAACATAAACAAATAAACAGCTGATTAATAATATTGGTAACATGGCAAATTTATTTTTCCTACAGTTACCTAACAATGTACATGTTCTCTCACTGATTTGAGAAAGCAAAGTGGCCAGTTCGCTCATCAGTGAGACAATGTTTACATTGTCTCACTCTAATTACTTTGTCTCACTCCAGATTTGCAACGTGAAGGCACGAAATAGTGAGCGCGTAATATGCAGACAAGGTCGTATCGTTGACTGTAAATCCTTAAAGGGTCCTTAAGGAATCCTTAAGGATTTACAGTCCATGGTCGTATGCACGCGAAACGTTGGCAGCACTGGCTGTAAATCAGCTGGTCAGCTGTTGTTCTGTAATGCTACTTTCACATTAAATGGCATATTAAAAGATCACTTCTGTGTAAAAATATGTTACGTTTCTTTACCAATCTATTTGTTTTATGGTAACTGTAAGAAAAATACAATGTGCCACTCTAGTCCAAAGTGCAATTGCTCACTAGTTACACAAATAACTATTGTGGGACATGGTGATCATACCATAGGCCAATTTGAGCTCTTTTATTATTTTTAGGGTTACTAAACTTCAAAAGATACCTTTATAATTCAGTAAAAATGTCAAAAATCTGTTAAAAAACCTGAGGAGGAGTTTTGTTCACGAAATAACCACTTCAAAAATAAATTATTTTAAATGAAATATTTGTACAAATCAGTTTATATAAATTTAAGTCCAGTGTTTCCGTCATAGATTTTATAGCTATGAATAGTTGGAGTTCAGAACAAGATAAGTTTCTTCAAGAAAACTCATACGTGATTCTTACAACTACGTGACGGTTTCCAGTAGATATTCTTTGTTATTTTATCGCGCTAAATTTTTCTAAATTATAGTAGTTTTACAAACTTCTAACTCAAACATGAATAGTTTACACTAAGAGTTACACATTTGAAGTTACATGGTCCTTTCTTTAACTTGACTTGTAATTCTTTATCATTATTAATCAAACTTTAATAATAATAACGAGTAATCGCATTCAATCACTACAATTGTACTAAAAAATGATCTACCTTAAATGTAATGCAAGAGTAAGGTCTTTCCTTATACAGTGCGTAAATTAAGTCTTGAAACAAGGCTGTATTTTTTAAACTGAAATAGATAGAAATATTCTGTTTGTGGCGTTGATTGTTAACAAATGTTCAGTAATTTTTTCCATCAAACATTTGTTTAACCCCCTTAACAGGTTTGAGGGTAGGGGGTGACTTATTTTTTCAAATAGCAACCCCTATTGAGTGACCACTCATTTTGAAGGATTTGTCAAAAGAAACACAATGACGCAAACCCGAGGTGGATATCTCACCCCTAGGCAAAATGGCAGGTATTCCAAAATGAGTTTTTTTGTATGTAAAAAGCACCAATTTCACAAATATGGAAACAAATCCGTATTTTATAACCGAAATAGATAGAAATATTCTGTTTGTGAAATTGATTGTTTACATAGGTTCCGCAAATTTTTACATTAACAATATTTTTTAACCCCTTTAACAGGGTGGTTAGGGGGTGATGGTGACTTATTTTTTATGACAACCCCTATTGAGTGACCACTCATTTTGAAGGGTTTGTCAAAAGAAAAACAATTACGCAAACCCGAGGTAGATATTTCACCTCTAACCTAAATGGCGGGTATTCCAAAGTTTTATTTATGTGAAAAAGCACCCATTTTGGAATACCCGCCATTTTGGCTAGGGGTGAGATATTCACTACGGATTAGCGTCGTTGTGTTTCTTTTGACAAACCCTTCAAAATGAGAGGTCGCTCAATAGGGGTTGTTCTTTGAAAAATAAGTCACCCCCTACCCTCTACCCTGTATGGGGGTGTTAAAAAATATTTTAATGTAAAAAATTGTGGAACTTTTGTTAACAATTATTGCCACAAACAGAATATTTCTATCTATTTCAGTCTTAAAAATACAGATTTGTTTCAAGACTTAATTTATACACTGTATATTTTTTGTCCTAGGACGCTAAGCACGAGCCTGGGATTGTTTTCCACCTACTTCAGGCTAGACCTAAGGGTTGCGGCATTATCACTTAGATAAAAATCCATTGGTGATTTGACGGGATTTGAACCCGGAACCTCTTGGACCGAAGTCCCGCGCTCTAACCACTAGACCAGCTCGCTCCCCGCCTTGAATATATTGTGGTCTAATTAAATCTCTTTATAAAACCATTTCCATCAAATAGACGTAAAGGGTATTGCTTATATCACATAAACGAAGTTATTTTCACACATTCTTTATATTCTTAACGGAGTTGCCTATTTTATCCTTCAGTGAATTTACAAGCATAAATAGGTACAAAAAACGATGTTATTCTTACGAAATCTTATTTGTTATTACTGTCTGGGTATTATACCAAAGCTACGATTTCCTAATTTTGAATGACAAACTAAGAACTTTGTTCACAAATAC